TAGGCCACTGCACCATAGTTCCTAAACGATACAAGGGAATCTAATTCATTGGACCTATCTGTCCTCAGTTACCATGTACCTATAGTCACACATCCATCTAATACTCTAGAGACTGTATATCAGACATGATACTGTCAAACATATATGGTTTCTACTCGAGTCTCTTTCTAATTGGATTCTCCATAAGAACTCTTTCTCTCTCAATCCGAATGACCCTAGCCAGGTATTTGTTTGATTAAGAACACATGTGATATTTCTTTCATAACATCAAGAGCGGATGATCATCTCTCGACACTCAATAGCCTTTATAAGTTTGACTGTCACTCCTGATGACAGATTGTGCCAGATGTTGGGAAATCTTGGGGGGGCGACATTACATGCGCAGTGGAAGAATAGAAAACAAAATCTCTAATTCTCAAAGATATGTTCGTCATCTTGTGAAGATTTATATGTAAAATTCGTGAAACAGAAAACCACGTGTGAGATAGATTGTGTTACTTAAGAAGATTGTATATCCTTGAATCTCTATAGATCTCTAGGAGAGGGTGAAAGAGATCAAGCGTGCTTCTCTCTAACGGTGATCCACATAGTAGGGCTGCGACAATGCTCCTCAAAACTCTAAGCCTACTTTGAAGTAGAGAGGGGGAGGAGAATAGAACAGACAAGCAAAATGCTCTAGCCTATAAACCACTGATTCTCTCATATTTATAGAGGTCCCCTATCAACTTAACAATAATGGATACTCTCATATTAATTATTGAATTTTCATCAAACTACCCAAACATATTAGATTAGTGGATCTCTATCTAATAATCTCTCATGGACTCTTATTAGATCTTATCCATAAAATCTAATAATTCAATGGCTTATTGGATATACAATAAAATAGGGGCTCCGGCGGATATCTCATATTCGAACCTTTACTTATCGCAATGCCTACTATATATGTGTGACCCTCTAGGCTCCATATCGAGTTGGCCATGAGTCATACATGAAAGAACTTCTTTTGGCTCAGTGAATTATTATCTCCATAATAATTTACTCGACTCATCGACTACGGACGTACCAGCCCACTACGTTGTAGTCCATAGATGATACAACAGAATCAAATCTATTGGACTTGTCTGTCCTCAGTTACCGTGTATATAGTCCCTCATCCATCTAATATCCCAAAGACCGTATACCGGACATGGTGCTGTCCGACCCATAGGATTTCTACTCGAGTCTCGCTCTAATCGAATTCTCCCGGAGAACTCTTTCAATCTCAATCTGAATGACTCTGGTTAGGGATTTGTCCGAGTAAGAATACAGGAGACATTTCTCTCATGACACCGAGAGTGGATGATCCTCTATCGACATTCAATAGCTTTCGTAAGGTTGACCGCCACTCCCAATGACCGATTGTGCTAGATCTAGGACATCCAAATCTATAAATCTGATATCAAAGAATGGAGCACTTATACATGACATCCTTGGTGTCTCAAGTCTAAGGATCAGATACACCATTGGGACTACAGAATCGTTGTCTGATAATAAGACATTAACAACAATTCAGCATTACATAAGCGGATCAATCAATTAACTCATTTCCCAATGAGCACGTGTATTGTATCCCTAGTGTCCCCACACGAGCAGCTATAAGACTAGTTGCATCAATTATATGGACGGGTATATAACACACTAGTCTATCCTATTATCTTGATGTCCCTCTTGAGTAACCTATGATTGAGATTATTTATGATCTGTGTTTAAAGGTGAATCAGTCTCATTATCGTGATCTTATCATGATTTGATTCTTATTGCATAGATCAAAGGACATCACAATGCATATATATACCAAGCAATATAAAGTGATAAATGTAAAAATATAATAAGCATAAAGACTGCATGTCAAGTCACATGTGTCATCATTCACATGATTAGCTTGTAGGGCACATATGACTAGAACTATATATGAAACACCCAAACCTATAAGTCCAATATCAAAAAGTAGAGCACTCATATATGATATCTTTAGTGTCTCAAGTCTAAGGACCAGGTACACTACTGGAACAACGAAATTATTGTATGATAATGAGGTCTCATTAACCATCCAATATTCCGTGAGCGGATCAATTAGTAAACCTATTTTTTAATGAGTACATGTACTGTATCCCTAGTGTCCCCATATGAGTAGCTATGAGACCAGTTGCATCCATCATATGAATGGGTATACAATACACTAGTCTATCCGGTTATCTCGATGTCCCTCTCGAGTAACCGATGATCGGGATTATTTAGGATCTATATTTAAAGGTGAATCAGTCTCATTATCGTGATCTCATCACAATCCGATTCTCATTGCACAAATCCAAGGGCATCATAATATATATAGGTGTATATGCAATAATTAATATAAAATAATAAAATATTAAATAATAATAAAAAATAAAAAGACTACGTGTCATCACTCATGTAATTGGCTTGCAGGGCACCTATGACTAGCACCATGCGGTCAAGAATCCTTGCCGCTATGGTCTCCTTGGCAACTAAGAAACCCTAGCTACCAGGGGTACCCCTTGTGGCCAGGAAACCAGGCTATAGAGGCTACCAATCTTGTAGGTCGAGAGCACCCTTACTACTTTTGGCCAAGTTAGAGTAGCAAGCTAGCTATGCTCTCGGCCAAGGCTACAAGCAGCCTTCGGCCAAATTGTATAGCAGCAACAGTTACTACCCTTTCTCCCCTATTTTGTGATACTAATTTTGGTGACAAAACATTGATCTAAAATACATTTTAGCAAGGAAAAGATATGTAGTCCAGATCTTAAAACTATGATAAAAATCATAGCAATCACGTAAAAATAATTCTACGCGATTGAACATAACACACATAGTTTAAAAACTAATCTTTTGCATGAACAACCTAGCTTTGATACCATTATTGAAAAATCTGGGGTGACATCACATGCGTAGTGGAAGAATAAAAAAATTAAAATATCATATTTTTTTAGAAAAATTAGTCTATTATTGTCGTGTAAAGATTTGTACGCAAAAACTCGAACCATTTAATGCACCCAATTCCTCATATACTAAGTACTCTCCTCCTCAACATATGAGATATTAATTGAGTTAAAATAAGTTCTGATCGGTATGACTTACGACCATCCAATATTGGGTCTAGAGGGTTACATATATATGGTAGGTATTGCGATGAGTAGAGGTTCATATATGAGATATCCATTGGAGCCCCTATTTTATTGGATGTCCAATAAGCCCATAAATTATTGATCTTATATATGAGATCCAATAAGAGCCCATTAGAGATTATTGGGTAGAGACTCACTAATCTAAGAGGCTTGGGTAGCTTGATCGAGATCCAATACCCAATAGGACATGATCCATTAGGGTTAAGTTTGCAAAGGACCTCTATAAATAGAAGGGAACCAAATGATTATAAGCTAGACCCTTTTGGCTGTCACCTCCTATTCTCCTTGGGGTGTGTGGACAACAAGAAGGATCGTCCCATCTTGATTGTGTGGTACACGTAGCGAGGAGGATTGTGTAGTGATTTAAGGAGTATCTTCGTAGCCCTTGTCGTGTGGATCACCACTAGAGAGGAGGAAGTTGACCTCTTTCATTCGTACCCACAGATCTACAGGAATTCAGGGATATACGATCTCCTAAAGTAACACAATCTTCTTATATGTATAATTTTTCGATTTTGTGGGTCTTTACGCACCAATCTTTGCATGACGACAAGAGAATAATTTTTATATGAAAATTTGAGAATTTATTTTTCTATTCTTCTATTGCACATATGATGTCGCCATAGATTTCTCAACATATATTACTTCTTGAGATGGTACCCTCAATTTTTTATAATCCTCATAATATTCTTGAGATGAATTAATATAATATTTGTATCCAAATATTATATATATAAGATATATTATCAATTATAATATTTTGAAAGAGGTTTATAATGTTATAATATAAGTTAATTTATAATATTATATATATATGATGAATTCTTGAAAAAGTTTTATATCTTTGAAAAAAAATTTAGAGCATTTAAACTTATAGAAATTTTAACAGAATACTTTTGTTATATGAAACAAATTAATTTACCTTTATTTCTATGAGGCTTACCTTAATTTACTTTTGTTATATGAAAAAAAATCTTATTAGACTCACCTCGCATTGCTTGAGGATACCATCTCATGTAGGGGAGGATCCAATAGGATCCAATAAGATTTATGAAGGAGGTAATGATCCTCACGTATAAGAGAGGGTTTGATATGATTTTTACTATTTTTATTTGTAGACCTTGTGTGTAAGAGAGGGGCTAATATGATCACCATTGTCATGATTGATATATATATATATATATATATATATATATATAGTAT